TCCCTCCCTTCCTCCCCTTCAAATATTCTTTTTAAACAAGATTAGTTGGCATGGATAACATAAGAAATGTGCCATTTGTCTGTTTCATCTAAGTTGCATTTGCACATAATAGTTCTTTCTTACCTTTTAAATATCTGAATTGTTTCTTGTTGTGTTAAATAATACAAGTTTAGCAGTTTAAAATGATGCATTTAGTTTCAGTAGTTTTAGAAATCTGGTATAGCTTGACCTGGTCCTTGGCTTTAGTGTCTCTTGCCAGGCTGTAGGTAAGGTTTAGTCAGGACTGAGGGCTCAAGTGAATGGCTAGTTGGACAAGGATCTGCTGTGGAGATAAGGGTATTTTTTATTTGTTTGTTTGTATGAAGGGTTTCTGGGTGCTAAGATACTCTGATAACTTGAGAGTAGCTTACCCAGTGGAAATGATCCTGCATTAACATACTTTCTACTTTTTACTAGATTTCTTGATACTAAAGGGTTTTGATGTTGTTTTTAAGTGACTAACATTAAGTAAAATGCTGTCAGATTAACTGACTGAATACATGTAATTCCTTAAATGCTAGGTCATAGAAGGTACTTTACAAAAATTAGCTGTTACACAAGCGGTGCTTGTGTTTTCTAATTATCAACGTGTTTCATTTGCTTTGTTTCCTATAGCAAATCACGATTACTTCTTCTACCTGCCTGGAAGTACTTTCTGCCTAATACTCCCATTTGAAGCTGTGCTAACATTTGGTTATCTACACTATTTATGTTTTGCACAGGAAGTTTAATTTGAAATTTGGCAGGGTGACTGTCTTCAATGTAAAATTTACTGGTCCTGCTATCCTGCCCCTTGTACTAAAAGAAAATTTAGTAATACTAATATTAAGACTAACAGCAAAAACTGAAATATATTACAGATATATGATCAATAAGATTTCTCAACATTAAAAAGAACAAGTGCGTTCTTTTTTTTTCTGCTTGCCTGTCCTCAGTTTTTCAAGGTCTCTTGGAGACTGTGATGTAGCATGGTTTAGATAGATTTCCTAGAAAAGTATTGAGAGAGGAGGGAAAGTTTTATCTTTTCTTTTTCCAAACAGTGAGCTGTTTGAACACTAAGATTGCTTTATTCATCTTGTAGCTTACAATAGCAGAGTGCTTAATATGTTATACGAAGTAATACATGTATTATGTGCATATATTTCATATGTACTTTTAATTTCCTTGGTAACTAAATTAAAATTACCTGATAAGACAAAAGATATAAGAGCTAGGGGATAGGTAAAAAGAAAGTGATAGGTCAAGAGAAGGATAGACAAGATTGAGAAGTATTTGCAAACATTTATGTTGACATCTGGGATAGAGATTGGCAGTGCACATTGAAAAACTGAGGACAGGCATGCAGAAAAAAAAAGAATGCACTTGTTGTTTTTAATGTTGAGAACTCTTATTGATCATATATCTGTAATATATTTCAGTTTTTGCTGTTAGTCTTAATAAAGTGGTACACTCTCCAATCTCTTAGGAAGTACATAAAAATGGAATGAAAAATGGTACTACTGAGAGCTGTTGAATATCAAAGGAAGGCTCAACTATTTTTGTTCTGAAAACTTTGTATTATATGCAAATTAGTTAATCATTCATTTTTGTAACACATGAGTTTTTCCGTTGAGGCAGAAACAGTAAGGCAGTAACAATTTGGACTAAATGCCTGAATTAGAGAATACCTTTTAAATAACATAATTACCATTTTATTTGCACTTTAAGTCATACATTCATCATTCTTTAAATGCAACGCCCTTAAACTTGTTGACAGTTTGATTGAACTAAGCAGAATATACATGTGCATATAGGTTATCATTTTCTTCTGGTAGTGGATTAGGTTGCAGTTTCTTTTTGTACTAGATGTAATTGCTTTTGTGTGTTTTGATACTTGTTGAACTATCTTGCCAGCCCCACATAGTACCATTCAAAATTAAAAGAGGGAGGGAGGGAGGGGTGCATGTGCATGAGGATGTGGTGAGAGGTGGATATTGGGTGTTCAGTTCTATCACTCTGACTGGGTCTCTCAGTGAATCTGGAGCTAGGCTGGTGGTGGCCAGAAAGCCCCTGGGATCTTCCTGTCTTTTGTCTCCTATAGTTCTGAGGTTACAGGATTGTACAGCTATACTTGGCTTTGTTTATATATGAGTGCTGAAAACCCAGGTTTAATAATACAGGAAGACTCCCATCACCCTGAGTCTCTCTCTACGTAGCTGTGGCTGTTTTCGAACTCAGAGATTCACCTGACTCTGCCTCCTGAGTACTGGGATTGCAGCATGTGCCACCACTGCCTGGCTCAGGTTCTCATTTTTAAACAGCAAATGTTCTTACCTACTGAGCCAACTCTTCCCAGTCCCTGAAAAAATTAAGATTTAAAAATTTTACTAAAAGTGATAAGAACATACCTGTATAAGTTCCAACTATTTAGATTGAGCCAGGGAAACCACTTGAGCTTAGGAAAAGCAAGACTTTGTTGATTGTTGATTGATGGATAGTACAGATACATCAACCGATGGATCTTGAGTATTAGGGGTTATATATAAAAAAATGTTTATGTGTGGTTTAAATTAGGTACTATAGAAGCAGTTTTTGAGCACCTCAGGTCTGTTTTCTTGTTACAGAAAAGGCTAGCATTTCCAAGTTCTTACAACATCTGCAGAGTGGGCGTAAAGTAGGATGTGTGTCTTACAGAATACATTTTATTTATTGAATGAAGCTCATCACTGTTTACATTAAAATATATAGGTTAATACACACATTTAAAATATTTTAATTGCTTTGAATTGTTTTAGTCATCTGTTTGATGGATGTGGCTGAAAATTAGCCTTTTTTTTTTTCTATTTTTCTAGAGTAGTACTGTTTTATGAGGCTCAGCAGATTTCAGTGAGTATTTAGGGTATGATGCCTTGTTTTCACATTTTGCCTAAAAATGGCATTCAGAAGTGGTGGCAGAAAGAATACTGAGGTGAGCTGTGTTTGATCATGGTATGCCAGTTAGTGCTTGTACAGTGTTAATTTTTAGGTTAAAAGTAAACTCCAAGGAATGACTTGTCAGGACCATCTTGTTTTGTATATCTCTTTGGGTGTGACAGATTGGACCATGATTGTTGTCACTAGAGTAAATTCTTTTTTTTGTTTTGTTTTGTTTTGTTTTTCAAGACAGGGTTTCTCTGTTTCTCTTTGGAGCCTGTCCTGGAACTAGCTCTTGTATACCAGGCTGGTCTCGAACTCACATAGATCCGCCTGCCTCTGCCTCCCAAGTGCTGGGATAATGGCATGCACCACCACCGCCCTGCCTAGAGTAAATTCTTAATAGCCATTATGTAATGTTGTTAATGTCACTTAAAAACTTTTTGATTGTCTGTCACATATATATCACCAATTCTGCAGTAGACAAAAGGAAACCCATTCAATTGGGAATTTGCACTCCCAGAAGATTAAAATTGAATAGTGGAAGTGCATCTATAAGTTGTAGTGATTCAACAGTTACTTTGCCCTTGGAATTAATATCTCTTTTCACAGAGATAGTGAAGTCTGTCTCTTTTCCTTTAATGTTTTCTTGAAGGGTAGGGTACACACTGGAGAATGATGTTCAGTGATACAGCCCCAGGAGACATTGAGTGGTCTCAGACAGGACAGGTTCTGTCTCTTGTGGTTTCTCTTCTGTTTTCATCTTATTTTGCTATCATGATTTTAAGGTATCAGAGGGCTGGCTATCACCTGAAGTTTTAAAAATTAAGTAGGAACACTACACTTTTGGAGGCAGTGCTTTGTTGTATGTAGGAGCCTGAGAACCAGAACAGTTCTAACCCACAGGGCCTTTTGTAAAGTTTCCTGTTCCACTCTTGCCTTTAAGAAAACGTATTAGAATGTAAGCGAAATATAATAGCTACTGTGAAATATTCATAGCCTATATTATCATGTGCTTATAATTTCCTCTTCAGACTTATGAGCTATATTGTTGTTCTCCTTTTTTATACTGCCCAGATTACATAAGAGTGTATCTTACCATATTAATTTCATTCTGTATTTGTTTTATATTTAAGCATTATCTATTTCCAGTTTATTAATTATGAATAAAGTATTTTAGGTATAGCTTATAATTGTCTGGCTCTTTGTAAGAGTAGTAACTAAGGAGGAATAAGTGGAGAGAAGCATTTTCCTGATGCATTACAGCTTGGAAGTATGTTTTTTTCCTCATTCTTTTCTCTTTTCTCTCTTTTTTTTTTTTGTTTTTTGTTTTTTTTGTTTTTTTGTTGTTTGAGTCAGGGTTTCTCCGTGTAGCTTTGTAGACCAGGCTGGTCTCAAAATCACAGAGATCCGCCTGCCTCTGCCTCCTGAGTGTGGTGTTAAAGGCATGCACTACCACTGCCTGGCTTCATTCTTTTCTTTTTTAATGATGTTTAGAATTGTCCTTTTGGATGTGGTGAGAATATGTCCAAAGATTATTCTGTTTGCATGACATGGGGTCTTAGAGATAGATATTTTGGGGCTGGAGAGATGGCTCAGAGGTTAAGAGCACTGACTGCTCTTCCAGAGGTCCTGAGTTCAATTCCCAGCAATGGTGGTTCACAACCATCCATTATGAGATCTGGTGCCCTCTTCTGATGTGCAGATAAAAATGGAAGCAGAATGTTGTATACATAATAAATAAATCAAAATCTTTAAAAAAAGAGCAAGAATTATTTTTTAAAGTAAATTTGTTTGTTGATTTGTATTGTGAGGGGATGGTGTTGGGTGGTGTGTGTTTGCTGAGGTTAGCACATGGAGGTCAGAGAATAGCTTGTAGTAGTCATTTTTGTTTTCTATAGTGTGGGTATCAGGGATTGAACTTGGGCCATTAGACTTGGAGGCAAGTGCTATTCAGTGCTGTGAATGACAAATACGGAGCTCAGTTCGGAGACCCTGTGTAAGCCTGTTCATTAATACAATAAGTGTTACTGTACTCTCTTTAATATTCTGGTCTTTTCTCTCCTTAGGCTTTTGCAGACAGCCCTCATTACAGTGATCACTTGAATGACAGTCGATTAGGAGCTCATGAAGGCTTGTCCCCAACACCTTTCATGAACTCAAACCTGATCGGTAAGTTGGTGACTCTGTTTAAATATCTGTGATCAGAGATCCTTTCTGTTACCATGTCCTATATAAATATGTAAAAGAAAGCTCCCTTGTTGCTAGACGAATCCAAGTTTTCCTTGCTTATTCCAGCTCAAAGAACTAGCATTTGGAAATCAGGGTCTTTCCTTTAGAGCACTGCTAAGAGTGTGTAAAGGGAAGTAGTTTTGGTCTGTTAGTTTGAACCATGTCCCTGTGATGCATTTATTGCAGGTTTTCTGGGCCAGAGAAGCATTCTTTCAGGGGCACTTGTGGTTTACTGTTTGTCTTACTAGGTATGTTTATGGAGTAGTTAAAAAGACTACAGAACAGTGACTTTGGCAAACTTAACTTAACATTGGATCATTTTTCCTTGGGTACTATTTGATAAAACTTAATATTTAGTTTAGAGGGTCAGTTTAAGCACTTGGATTCTTATTGAGGCTGTGTAAACATTTGTTTGCAAGTCAAGTAAAATTTGAAGGGTGTGACCTGATCTTTATGTTTTATCACCACTGTTATTGATCATTCTCTCTGTCTCTCTCTGCCCCATGCAGAACAACCCCCCCCCCCCAATATGTCTTTCTTAAGTGACAGTTTGAAGTTTTTAAGTCTGAAATAAGCCCCATGATTGTGTCTTATGCCTGCCAAACCTCTTGGTTTGGAAACCACTCATTTTTTTAAAAGGCAGTATTCAGCCTTCTTATAAAATCTGTCTGAAAAGAAGCTGTGTCCTGTAACATTTTTTTTGTTCTTGTTTATGCTGTAGCTGTACATGTTCTAAAGGCTTTATGTAATCTCTTGTATTAACTGCCATTGGCATCAGATAAATAATGTGGTTTGTGTGACTGACATTGATTTCACCACTCTACCTCTAAAGGATAGATTGCTTTGTGATCTTAGAATTGACCTTTTGAGTCACAACCATGTTAATCTAAGTAGATTACTCCATCCAGACTCCTGGTGGTCTACAGATGCTTTGTAAGGGATCTTGCTGTGTGCAGCCTTTGTTTTCTCTTCTTCTCTAGTTTTGAGGAGTGAGAGTCTGATATTCTAGTGTGGATTTTGCTTATGGCAACTGACAGTCATAAACCAGAGTCATTGAGTGTGACACAGACCTGTCTAAGCAGTAAAACATGTGCTGAAAACCACTGGTAAGTGGGTTACTTACTGCAGCTAAAGCCCAGAACTACGTTTAAAAAGAAAACAATTATTTATCAAAGAAAATTTCTACGTTTTTGTGTTAATTTTCTGTTGAGTCTTCCATCAAGGTCTGTTTAAAAATTGCTTTTGTATTTTAACTTTTCCTCCAAGCAGCATTTATTTATACTATATGTAGCCGTAGTAAGTAAAGTTGATGTGAACTGAGGCTGTTACTCTGAACTAGAAGAATTTATCGCCCCTCTAGAATGTATATCCTTACCTTCAGCCTTGCTCATAGAGATGGCGCACACCCAGAGGAATTACATCTTTCACACAGTTTTGGGCTAATGTAACTGTTAAAATTGGGGGGAATAAGTGTTGTCTCTAGGAGATACGTCAGTCACTTCTGAGCAGCTGTTAACTAAAAAATATTCCTATAATTCAGTTTGAGGTTCTATTTCCTCAATTGGGGACTTTATTAACATATGTTTAATGCCCCCCCCCCCCAGTTTTTGGAGAATTATTGGAATACTGTTAAAGATTATCTCTTCTCTATAAAATCTACATCTAAAGTAAGTCTATAGGTAAGACTTGTAAACAGACTAGTTTCTTCACTGTTCAAATGGGAAAAAAAAATCACATTCATCTGAACTGCCTAATGTAGTGAGTCCAGTACAGCTGTACAGATTATGTATCATCCAATGTAGTATAATTGCCTAATTTTAAAGTATCCTTTTACATTTAAAGGAGAAGGGGAGAATCTGGGCGGTAGATCTCTGTGAGTTCTAGGCCAGCCTGGTCTAAAAAGCTATACAGAGAAACTGTGTCTTGAAAAAAATAAAAGAGGGGGATGGTATAATTCTGCAGTTCTTAATTAGGTAGAAACATTCAAAAAGGTTTTGTCAGCCACTGGCAATTTCTGATTTACCCCTCTTTATCCTTTTTTCAGTAAAATGATGAGTGCTTCAGTATGGCACCCTAAATGAGTGATGGGCATGGCAGTAACATGCTTTTGGATAGGAATGTTCCTTAAATTAAGCAGTTGCATAGAGTAGCAGGCAATACAGTAAGATGTGAGATGCAGTAATTGAACTGTTAAGACATCCAGATGTGTGGGATGGTTGTACTATATGAAGTTAGAAGAGGGTCTCTTTTCTAGATGTTTAATAGTATAGGGGAGTTTCAGGTGGCAAACACACCGTTAGAGCTTTCTGCTGCTGTGTATTTGGTGCTTTGAGAAGCATTGGACCACTGATAGCTGATTGCTATAACAGAAAGCTTTGAAGTGAATGGTGGATGCTCAGAAACAAAGAGAACAGAGAAGCAGTAACATTTTATCATTGCTGCCAACATATAAAAAATAGCATTAAGCTGGAAGAGGAATTATTCATCTAGGGAATGGTGTTCTCTTGAGTGTTATGTTCATCTGTAAGTACATTTACCTGAAGCAAGAGTGCGTTATAAAGTGGATTATAAAGCCACTGTTTTTCATGATGGAACTTTCAAAAACTTAAATGATTACATTGCAAAAGTCAGAGGTTTTATCTAACAAGTATTGATAATGAATAATTTGCCACAGAAAACAGATTACTATATTCATTTAGATATCTTGATGTATGTTTATGTAGGAAATAAAGCTATTGTGCTATGTCAGTGTTTCTTTTTATGAATTTCAGAATTACCCTCTTGATTTGTCAGTATGCAATAGTAGAGGGCTTTTCTCGTTTGAAGAGAAATAAATATATCTTTTTGGCGCATAACTAACCCATTAGTAGCAGACAGTTCTGTTAAAGCTGTGAACAGAGTCTTGACCATAGCCATGAGTTGCAGTGGTATCATTGTACAGTTTTGGCTATCATGGTTGCCAAAGCTTTGGCTGATTCTTTCACTCTTGACTCCCTCACTAATTTTCATATATTTTATCTTCTGGGACTACAAAGAGGGCTCAGCAGTAAAAAAAGCACTGTTACTCTTGCAGAGAGCCTGAGTTTGGTTCCTAACATCCAAATAGCAGCTCCAGGGGATCTAACAGCCTTCTTTGGCCTCTGGACACTCATATACTTGGTATACATATATGTTGCCAAAACATTCATGCACACAAAAAAACTCTTAAAAAACCCAATCTTGAAAAACAAAAACAAAAGATTGTTTTCCCTTCCTGATTGGTAATATTTTGGGTGATGGTAGGACCAATTAATTGAACTGAGAATTATTTTGTGAAATTGTATTCCCTCCATTCTCAGATGATGTGGAATGAACATGGCAGTCCTTTTCCTCCATGCTTACTTACATTTTGCTCAATTAAGAGGACATGTGCATGTGTGTCATAAACAGAAGACACAGCTTCAGGTCATCTTGACTTTTTCTTTTTTCTAAGACATTCATTTCTGTTCCTCTTGAATTGCTTTGTTAGTATTCTCATAAACAGTCACATAAACATGTGGTAGATTATGGGGGGTGGGGTGGGCGAGCATTGGATAGCCAGAAATTAGGATTTATAAGTAGTCTTTACTTTTAGGTTAGGATTTACTAAGGATCCTGTAGGTATTCAGGGTTTTAGGATCCTCTAGGACATGTTCCATAATATTATTCTGGAAAAGACTCAAATTAAAATTAATTTCTGTCTTGCAAATGCTGAAACAGAATTAGAGGGAAATTGCATGTGTATTTGAAGTCACAGAGCCAGTAAATGGCGAAACTGAAAGTTAAAAAGCCAGTTTAGAAGTTGAGTTAATCTGCCCATTTATATAAGTGCTTATTCTTTCCTTATAGTGCTTCTAGGTTTTTATTAGGCTGGCAGTTCCTAGCCATAATTACCTACATTTTGATTTTGACCAGTGACATGAACAAAGATTTCATAGTCAAACAACCTCAGACAGTATTTTCTGTCAGTTCTTTTCCTTAGAGGTTCAGCATGTTCTTTTGTTTGTTAAAACTTTCGGGACAATGAGAGTCTATTTCATCTTGGTTACCCAATGACACCCAGATTTATAAGATGTGTTCAAGAGTTCCCCCCCACCCCCAAGACAGGGTTTCTCTGTGTAGCTTTGGAGCCTGTCCTGGCACTCGCTCTGGAGACCAGGCTGGCCTGGAACTCACAGAGATCTGCCTGCCTCTGCCTCCCGAGTGCTGGGATTAAAGGAGTGCGACACCAACGCCCTGTATGTTCAAGACTTTTAATAAATAAAAAACACTGTTAGGTTTTAAAAAGCTATAGTTTTCTATAGAACACATGGCGGAAAGTGCCTTCTAGCTGTTGAAAGAACAGTGAATGTAAATGCAAACTAAAGTAGCACAGTGTTTGCTGGGTTGAGGTGGTGGTGGTGGTGTTCGTGGTAGTTGTGGTGTGGTTGTGGTGGTGGTGGTGGTGGTGGTGGTGTGGCAGCAGGAGCAGCACACACCTTTAAACTTTATCTGGGAAGCAGAGGCAGGTGGATCTCTGTGAGTTCAAGGCCAGCCTGGTCTACAGAGTAAGTTCTAAGATGGCCAGAGCTGTTACAAAGAAAAACCCTGTATCTCTAAAAAAAGTAAAAACAAAGTGTCACAGTGTTTATCAGATTGTTTTGGTTGTTTTTATAACTCATTTTAGGTTTCCTTTTCCTCTCAGTACCAATCGTTTAATAGTGCAGTGCACTGTTAAGTCTCTACTTAGAGCTGCCATTTTTTTTGCTGCTGCAGTCTCTATCTAGCTCAGCTCCTCCCTTCTTTATTTAAGAGTTTAAAGCACCTCTCTGATAGTAACCACTGTTTTGTTTCATATAAAGTAGTTAAAGTAGATTTTTTGGGGTGTGTGTTGGGGGGAAACTCAAGCCCAGGTACTATTCTCATGCATTGAGTATTTCAGG